TGTTTATGTGATGTGTGGAGTTTTATGGAGGGGAATAAAATTCGTGCTGATCATACACTTTTACTGGAAATACAGTTTACTTTATCTGAGATTATTAGGTTAGCTTTCATCACTTTTTCTGAGTACAAAACTCCCGGATTCGCATGAGAACTGCAAAAGAAAAATATACAAGACTAAAACAAACACAGTCGCACTATTGGTGATGTATCACTCTACGTAGTATCATATTTGCCGTTTGTGATTACACGTGTAGCAAAATGTAGCACGGGGATTTGTAGTCAAACATTCAAAGCCGAAGATATCACGACCTCCGGACTGGGGGAATGTTATTTCTATTCAACAAGTGATGAAATTGCACCGTATAGTGTGCATGGGAAAACTTCTGAATGACAATAACGTTGGATTCCGCAGTTTGAACCAAAACAACTCGGGGGATAAGAGATGGATAACATTTTATTGAAATCGGAGAGGTGGGAAAATTGAAATTATCGCAGCGTAGTCGAGGGGTGCAACCAGAATAGACCTCTCGGGGAGAATGCATACTAATTAATTGATATTGTGACAGGGAGAAATGTGCGAAGAAAATGTGTGTGGATTCACTTTCTGGACCTAGAAGACTGCATTGATCAAAAACTCTGATGGAAGTCATAGCTCAGTACCTGGGTACAAAACTATACAAAGCTAGGTAGTCTAATATATGCACATCAAATTGGTTACAGTAAATTATCTGACCACTTAGAGAAGTCATTATCGCATGTTATCAGTTAAATTAACCGAGTCGTCTGTATTCCGTGCCGATGATCTGCCACAATACCTACTACATTGCATTCTTTTTAATGTCATCTTCAATAATGGTTCCACTCCATGTGGCTGAATTTACAAGTCTTTAATCGGCCATTAACAAGCCATGAAAAAGCCCAATGCAATTTCTAAAAACAACAACAAGCAACGGCACTTTTAGTGATTGCAGGTGGTGAGAGGTGGCTTTGAAGAGGCTAATTCACAAGACCTTTGTATCGGGATGTGTCGTCCTTCTAATACCGTGAGTGTCGTTCATCTGAGCACTGTAATTACCGTATCTCATTCAATGCGCGGACAAAGTACAGGGTTAGAGCCCCCTGTCTCAGATATGACAGCATTGATAATACTTTGGGGGACATCTGTGGTCAGCAAAATTGATCGATTCATAAATAGTTTGTGTAAAGGCCGTCCGTTCTGACTGATTTATGCAGACAGTTATGACTAAGTAGTTGGACTCAAAACAATCAAATTGTTAACAAATATGTCGACTCGGTGCTTTGCGAAGGCATATGTTTGTGGATCATTGAGGCTATTCTATGGTGATTGATAATACAGAGAAACTTGCTCTGTCTTCCCTCAGCTACGTCGTTGAACCCCGGCCGCTGAAAGTGAAGGATTCCAGCCCTGTTCAGTCTTAAAATCATCAATGAGTACAGAACTCCAATAACAAAAAAGGACGTTGAGTGTGTATTTTTCGACCGGAAAATATTATTATATGATATATTAAGTGTGTATATTTTTAGGCAACAGTTAACTGGTAAAATGGGCCCCAAAGTATGATATTACAAGATTGACATTTTCCACCAGTGCTACTCCACTCATAATACGGCGTCGAGATAGTAATAGATAGCAGGCTGGTCCTACTTCGAGAAATAATTTCGAAAGAGTGCATTCGCACATTATATCTTCATTGGGGGGGGGGGGTTATTGCATGTGCACTTACACCTTAACATGAATTGATACTTTTAGGCCACGATTGAGTCAGAGTGCTTCGATCTTTCACGCGATAGATGAAAAGTTAATCGGTGACGACATCGAATCTGCCTGCCTACTCCAGCTGCCTATCTATACTAGTAATACTGCAGCAGCAAATTGTGGAGTTTTCTTTTATCGGATGATCTAAGCATGGCGCCGTCGACTTCATGTCTGTCTGTCTGTCTGGGTGTCTGTCTATGAAACATGCATCTTAAATAATGTATTTGTCAGGACGACAATCGACGACAAACCTCGCACCTGAACCCGCTGAGTGTGCTCGACGCAGACACAACACACGTGGCCGGTCAGACAGGTGCAAGTTTTCACATATCCTCGATCCATGTAGTAAGTACACGGTGTGCTCAGTGGTTTGATAACCTTCAAGAGACGAATCAGTTTGTCAATGCAACCTGGAAAAGTGCATTGTAAACTCGGTATTTAGGCTCAATATTCTGCGTTCATGCACGTGTTCAGTACAGACTCCCGGCAAACGCTGACGAAGTGTCTCTTCTTTGATGGAATCCGTCCCTGCAGGTTTTGTTACACTATAATTCCAAAATGCGTGTCTAACGAAACAAAGCTGTTTAAGATTTCCAATTCATAGTGAAAACGTGACAAAGTAGGGACAGTATTCTTTATTTGTAGTCAATATAGACATTGAACAAAACTGCCTTTGTCAATATCTCTTATTAGTACCATAACAATATATGTATCTCAAGTTACGCGGGATGGGGGAAAGTGTGTTCTCAGTTCTTAGTGACCCCCCCCCCCCAGTAGGTGGGTTTACTCCGATTGGGATCTATATATGCATGATTCCAGTATACGAGGTATACTCGGCACCGAGTGCTGATAACTATAAACAAATCATCAAGACCTTTCTTCAAACATCAAAATCACTAATTCCTGCGTGAAAACAACCCGCCGCGCATATGACTCTTGCTAAGAAAGAACCGTAATACAGGTCTGTAGTCTGAGAAGATTTATTTAACTGACTGAGGGGTCTGGAGAAACCGGTAGAACATATTTCTTACAACCAACGGGTTCAGGGCTCTCGTGTTGCCATGTGTGACATGAACCACTTTGTAACTGGTCCCCGCATTTATTCACCTTCTGTAAAGATTTGAACTCGCGCTCTCCAGTTTCAGAATTGTTAATGGAACGTTTTTTTTTTAGGTTTTTTTTTTTTTCTTTGCACAACACTGCTGTCTATAGTTGAACGCTTGATACTGTGTATCATAACAATCTAAGTCGGCCCTTGTTTTAACGAGATATATTTAGTTGACGATCATCTGATACCCAGACTTTTTCCACGTTTTGATAATTCCGCAAACCAACACCAAAAATATCGCGGTAATCCTATACGTGTTCACGACTAAACGCCCCCGGGCAAAAGGCAATTGACTTCAACTCTTAATGCAATATTTAGATTTTTGAGTTAAAGGGCGGCAGTCGTCGTGCCGCGTCCTGTTCGATGTGGGACTCATAGCGACGTATACAACGCGTGTAAAATACATTGTTTATTTACATGAAATTCGAACACGCGCTGCGCGACGACCACCGCGCTTTAAACATTCCGACGTCCCGGTACTCTTCTCTCTAGTAAGACCACGTCACGGTTATGGTAGCAACTCGCATTAACTCAGCAATTCTAAACTTGCGGTGTTGTTCCGCCTTTTAGAAATCATTCAAGTTCTAGTCCTTTCATTTTTTTGTTAGCCATTTTGTCAAATAGGGCATGCACGGTCTGGTGCCATGCCGATCTTTTATTCTTCTCAGGACGTTTCACCGGTTTCCCTTTCAGCTCAAAACAAAGATTTGCATTACCATCAAATTAGGTCCGTTATGAGAGGTAAATTGCGAAACAGTGGAGTCGAAATGGAAGGTGGAATGTCAAACAAAAGTTGCAGCGTAGCTGGGTTGTTTTTGGTCACGTGGTCTGGGCAAACTCGAATCTCTAGCGGGCAAATTAAGATTACGGCAGTATCAGTCCTCCCAGCACAGGGGAACATGGGTGCTATTTTGTGGCTCAATAATGTAGAAAATGGAACTGCTGAACCGAGTTAAATTGGATAGCTGCAAGAGAAAGGGGAGATGACACTGCGCCCCGGCTATAGGTGCTTTTCAAAGGCACAACACTGTGAAATTATAGCCTCCAGGCCAGTACAACATCTAAGTGGCAAAATATAGTACAAACAACACGACGTTTTGAGACAACACTTTAGAAGCGTCAAGTAGTTTGCCGTTGAAAACTAAATACTAGGCCAAAAAGTCACTGCAACTACGCACAGACAATTGTTTGTTTTTAGGCTTGCGACCCAGCAACATCGAGTAATATGACGAAACTAGGATATTGGTACGCCACCCCCTCCAATAACAATGGACTCGACCTGCAATGAACTCAAGTTATAACACATAGAGGAGTTTACGTGGAAAAATGAGATTGTTGTGAGTAAAATGGCCTCACGCAGCTCTATAGTTAGACGGGGTTTTATTAAAAACAGCACATAACACATTTCGCACTACTTTGTGAGATAATTGGTGGTTCTCAGTGTACAGTACATGTGTGTAACCATCAATCATCGAAGAAAAAAAAATCTTACCAAGAATGCAAACTTAAATTAATTGGTACTTCATAGTGCACATCTTTTAGGCCTAGCATTTTTAGGGACGAATGGGCCGCAAGTTTGTTTTCAATAGCATTCGCCAAGGCTTCGTTTGTAACGTACCGGGAGCAGTCACAACTTATTGAACTTAGCGCTATAAATACAGCGTATCATCGCACGGCAACTATGCAGGGCATCTACCGACTGATCATTCCAGACACCCTGAGAAATTGCTTCAATATATGTCGGATTCAACTCGGGAGCAAACGAACATGTCCGCGAAGTGACATGACTTCGATTTGACACCGAAATGGCAACTGGAGGCCGGTACTTTATCAGGTTTTTAACCGCTGACGACCCTGCCAATTAGCAGTCAAGACCTGTTTTAAGTATGTAGACTATGAAGAGACAGACGTCCAGCCAACTTCATTTATTTCCAACTAGTCACTACATAAAATCCTACTAGGGGTACCATAAAGAAGTTCAGGACACTTGTGTTGACTATCAGCAGATTTAACGCCCCATGAATACCGCTAAGTCACTTGAGAATATAGACGGACACTTTGTAAATGGAGAGAAAAGAAATGCTACGATCGTTGACAAAGTAGTGGCAATACTTACCCGGCACGGAGGAGATATGTAGCTGTGGTACAGTCAGACAGGAAAATCAATCCAGCTAGCACGGTAGCCAATAATATAGACGGAGTGAACATAACTTCAGATGCAGTGTAAACTAAAGTGATAATTCTGTCGTATAATAACACACCGACTCTGAAGATATTTCTATTTTTTACTGCGCATTACTCCGTCTTCACACTTCGTAAATCAAATAACGGGACTTCGTTCCGCGGCTGCGATTTATAGTGACTGAATTGCGGGATTCGAAGCTGTCCCAACAGTCTGGCGTGAATCGTTCCGTGTATATAGGTGTCACTTCTCTGAAGTCACTTCCATGTACGCCAGCACGATATTCTGATCTGAAGCTTCGTAGCCTGCAGTCGCCCAGCGTGGGATGAAATCGCCGAATGAGACGTTGCACGGTTAACGATATAGCCGGTATGGGCCTTTGGCACAGAGCGAAGCGCAACCCGTTGACCAGATGTTTGGGAGAGAATGAGAGCGAGATAGATTTTAAGATCCAAGTAAGGATGGTAGTGGTGGTGGTGTCGTATACAGTGATCAATCATCTGTGTGGACTAGACAGCCAGTCACTCACTCACTCTAGTACAATACTTAAACCCCCCTACTTAATATTCATTACGCAGCCCCAATTACACCCTATCAAAACATACAGCATTACGGCTCCTGGGGGAGCCACCCTAAAAAACAAATTCTTGCCAATTTACAAACGGAAGTCCATTTTCGAATGTCTGCTACTTTTATGTCTGAGGGACGCATACTAGTCCATTCGACTGAAAGAAAAAAAAGCGTGCTTTGAGACTTTCCACCGAAACCAATTGATGTTTATTTATATGTTCTGGTGAATTTGAGCTACTATACCATCACCTCAGTAACCTCGCTGCAAAACATACAGCTGCGTGACAGGCGAAACGCACTGGAAAGTCGACGAACCGAATAAACAAAAAATGAATTCAGAGATATTTCATGAGAACGATGATGTCATTACAACTGATACGATGGCATAGTACTATTTACATTTAGCTCACTTTAACTTTTCACGAGTGGAGACCACCCAAAACAAAATCACCTTTCTTGAAGTGATTCAAGCACATGACTTGTGGTTTGTTAATTTATGACCCCCTTGGCCTTAAATTGTTCTGCTTTTGGGGATTCCGGGATTATAATGGTATTAAATAGAGCGATAAGCATTATACCCACTCCAATCTGGTCATCGCGAACACTTGAATCCGAGTCCTTAACTTATCTAAAATAACCATGCCTGTCAAATTTTAAAATATAATATATCACCATATTGAAAACATGTTGCTGAATCGAAAAATTAATATTCCGATGCTGGTTCAAATAAATGAACTTTAAACACCGCAAAGTACTTTTACCTATACCGAAATTAGAAAGTATTTTTCCCGCCAATTTGTTTGCTGGAATTGATCGTCTGAGGAGCATGTGGATGTCGTATTTCATGCCCGGGGGAATAACATGCGATAAGAAGAGATCGTTCACAAATGATGGCTGTTATGGAACCAACCAACTGGGTTTGTGTACAAAACACAAGTGAAAATTGAGCAGAATTGGTGTAAAGAATACTGAAAGCTGAACGAAGTGAATTCACACGCCCAACTGCACAGATGAATGAAAGCAGCCTGAAATCACTCATCACCCCTTTGCTTAGTGGACTGTTCCAAACAGGCAAAACAAAATACGATACACCAAACAAGGCAGGAAGGTGAAAACATTTCTGACAATTTACAGAACACGGCCGGGCTTGATGTATAAAACTGGATCAGACGACGATTCCCAATTATAAAAGCAGATGGGTTTTACGTGACATGTCAATAAATGACTTCATATGAACGATTATTCCCTCGAACAATAAATTTTAGAGAAAATTAAAAAAAATACAATCATCTTCGTTAACGTGGCTCTATTGCACGTCAATCTCAGATAACGATGCATAGTCAGGATTGTTGCAGCGACCAGTTTATTTACTTTATCGTGGCATGTTGAGATGTGTTCACGTCGACCCCGAGAATTGATATCATCAACTTGTCTCTACCTCCGTCCCAAAATGGCTCAAAATATCCAGTAGTTGATGCGGAAAGTACGACTTTTCAGCACTTATCTCAGAAAATGTTAAAATAATACCCTGTAGGGGACGACTGTGAAATATACAATAGGGGCAACTTTCGCCCAGAGGGTTACCATACAAACGTGACCTTTGTATAAAAAGACATCGACTTTGCCAGTGTAAGATATGTGCGCTATTTCTCAAAATACAACTTATAATGACTCTTTCAAATGTCAATAAATTCATTCCCGAACGAGCCAGACATATGGTAATGAGGTCATTCAGTAAGTCGTGACATTGGAGGTACGGTCAATATCTAATTACCGTACACAAATGTATACATTGGAGTAAACAAATGTGCAATAAATAACAAATAAACACACACGCGTCACTCTTTGGGTGATTTGACGTCAGTGACAGTTGTCCTCCGTGGGTCTACAACGTCTTCATTTCTACTTCAACAAACAAGATTATTTTCTTCATCTCTCGTATGTTTTTGTTCTCGAAACTTGAACTCCCGAAACCCGGGGTATTTATCTTACCCTTTTTGCTGATGGTGCACTTTTTCTTAACATTTGAAAACAATGTAATTGGGAAATGAATCATGATTATATAATCATTGATATCAGAGAAAAAAAGTAGCAGCAATTGTTTGTACTGAATTTCACATAGATTTAGAGTTAAAATATCGTCTTATCTACAAAAACCCGATGCTGATATTAGGACACCCTAACTTGTTTGACTTTAATCGTACATCACTATTCTTCGGTTAAGTTTCGACCGCCCAGGCTTTTGACACAAGTCATGATTTAAATCACGGAAAAAAAATGAAGCTCAAGATCATATTTGTAAGTCAAATAGATATTTAATTATTGGAATCACCGCCCAATAATAGGTTATATTCGACTTTGATGTCTAGATTATGGGAGCATGAAATGTAACACTTGTTGTTGATTCGCAGGTGTAATGAACCATGTATAACGACTTATCTGTATCACAATGTTTTTGAATTTGCTTGTCATGTACATGGGATAGCCTTCTCCACGTCCTTGTTAAACATGACCGTCAATCTAATCGTATTTGCAGGGTGAATGATGTGGGTGTTCTTTGTTTCTTTTTTTAAATAAAGAATTGTCTTATAAATAAATAAATAAATAAATAAATAAATAAATAAATAAATAAATAAATAAATAAATAAATAAATAAATAAATAAATAAATAAATAAATCAGAATAATATAATGAGGCTGATATAGAGAACGTTTAACCCTAGAAAGTACCCGGATGTTTGTACTTTATGGTTCGATTTATTGAAATCATTTTATTTAACCATGAACAAGATTATATAAAAATAATCAAAAAGTATAATGATGCTAAAGTACATATGACACTAGAAGGAGAACAAAGATTTCTTATTTCCATAATAGTAATCAAAGTATTAGCTTCATGGCGGTGCTACAGATCAGCAACGCCACATGTAGTAGACGTAATAGCATGTCGTCAACCTTATGCCCTCCAATCGACTGACAAATTTAAAATACTTCTGATATGGTAAATGTAAAACCTCAGTATGTGAATTGACACACAGTTTCTCGACTCAAATTGTGAACATTTTTTTGTTAATTCACATGCGCTGTATACCTTGCATGGTACGAATGTTAAGCCCCACGCAGTGCGACGACTGCATCGCTTTAAACACATGCAAATCAAAAGCCTTTTAATGATACATGACCGTGAATCAAGCGAAGTTGGGATGTTATATATCGGTTGGTTCATAATATTTTTTTAACTTGATGTCTAATATTCAAACAGCCTAATCCTTCGAGAACGTGACGTGATACAAATTATCTATAACGAGTTTTAAAAATGTGCATTCAGGTAACAAGAGAACATCTATACACTTGTGGGTTGTCTCAAGTTAGAGCGACAAAACAATTGGGTACATTATTTGTACCTGATTGAAGTGGGTCATAAAAAACGAGACAAAAACGAAGTCATAGATTTATGGTCGCCAAAATCAAGTACATGCATAATCTGCACGGTTGAATTAAATGAATAGAGCATTTTGAAATTCAGGTATTTGGATAATATATGCTGGCCTGCATCTCCGTGCATTACATCTACGGAACTTTGCAAGTTAGTAGCAGTGCTATGAACTGAATCATAATTTTTATATATATATGTGTGTGTGTATCTTACGTGGGGCTCTGTATATTCACTGTGAGGAATGACTGCGAGATTTCTGTGTGAACTGGTCACTTTTAAACAGTTTACGTGCCTGTTTTTTCGATCTCATTTTTGTTGGGGAGAAAAAGATATTCATACGTATCAATCAGTGAGAATGGAAGTTCTGTATTGTATCGTCACGGTGTTAATACCGTCACTGAACCATTCTCACCAGGAGCATGTTGGAAACATGTTTTCTTGGTGAGAATTCAGTAGCAGGATTGTATTTCACCAACAAGTAGTGGAAATGAAAACACATTTGCGTCAACTGCTACAGAGTGTCTAGTTAAGGCCAAAATGAACTTTAGGCGGAAATGGCCGCGGAGATCTCGTTGAGAGTGAGAGTGCCACGAGACTTGTGTTTGCACCTCGAATAATGTTTTACTTTTTCTCATCATACTGTTAACCTAACCCATCGCGTCCACTCTTCCAAATACCTTGAATACATTTTAGAAAAAACCTAGAGTTTGATATGCCGGACTGATACATTCAGGGTGGGTAGTCAAGTAGATAATGTTTTTCTTGCCATTACATGCCATTACTTTCACATCTATGTTGATGCTGTTTACAGTTTGGTTTTAACAAATGGACAAGTCACTCTTGTAAATATTTTTAACTTATTATTTTAACAACTTAACTTAATGTGTAAAATAGCCTTTCTTTACGAGTATTTACATTGTCGTATATGGGAGTTTAAAGCGGGAGGGTCGCCACCTGCGCACGCGCGGGAATTAAGTCCCAAGCGACGATAACAACACACGCTAAAAACCCAAAGGCTCATGGTTAGACGCTTGTTTGGAAACAATGACACGCTACGGCCATCTGACGCATGCGCAGGTGACGACTCCCCCGCTTTAATTACAGTATCTATCTGCAAGCTATATTCTAGTCGACATGCTTTTCTCTATTCCTGGCATCACATGACATGCTGCAACA